TGGTCCTGAACTGCACTGGCTCCCTATTAAACATTGTTTACATTTTAAAATCTTGCTAATTAATTATAAAGCCCTGAATGGTTTAGCTCCTCAATACTTGAGTGAGCTCATATCACATTATAGTCCTCCACGTCATCTGCAATCTCAAAACTGGTCATTTGATAATACCCAGAATATCAAAATCAACTGCAGATCCCAGATCCTTTTCCTATTTAGCACCCAAATTCTGGAACAATATACTCTGTCAGTTTAAATCAAGACCCATCACCCATCTCTTAAACCTGGCATACACATACACACTGTCGCATTTCTATAATTCAAATCCGTTAAAGAATTGTTAGGATGCATTAATTTTGTCAACCGGAACCGGGAACACTTCCCATAACACCCAATGTACTGTTTACATTGACTAATATTAGCATAGATGCCATTCTTCTTACAGTTTCATTTTTATTCCGAGATCACCGTAGCCACCCAGATCCAGTCCGTATTCAGATCAGATGGTCACTGCAGTCACTTGGATCCAGTCCATATCCAGTCCAGATGGTGGATCAGCACCTAGAGACGACCTCTATAGCCCTGAATGTCAGCGGAGACCATGTCAACTAGATGCGCCCCAGAGACAGATCCCCAGTAAAGAACTCATCACCTCGTCGACCATCGACACAAGACCACGAGATCCAGACGAGTCCTCTGCTCAATCTGACCTGTGTTGCAGTCTGGAATTAAACCATATCATGCTGGTTTTGTCTGGTCAGAGGAGAACTGGCCCCCCGACTGAGCCTGGTTTCTCCCAAGGTTTTTTCTCCATTTCTGTCACCGATGGAGTTTTGGTTCCTTTGGCTTGCTTAGTTGGAGAGGCTTGACTGATTGCACAGAGACTATTGGAAGAGAGCTGAACTGGACGATGACATCACTAAATAATCAATGCACTGACTTTAGCTGGAGAAATGACTCTGTTATTGTCTTCTTGCATTATTGACAAACTATTTTACTGTTTGACACTGTAAAGCTGCTTTGACACAACCAGTATTGTATAAACTGCTATACTAATAAAGGTGACTTGACCTGACTTATAACGTGTTTTTGCAGTGTTGAGCAATGTAGCAAATCACACATATCTGTTGATTTCTGGAACGCAATGGCCAATCAGACGTGTTTAAATTAGAATCCACTCACTACTCAAACGTCAAGAGTTTTTCTTCAGTGCTGAAAGCTTTGCATGCTGGCAAATCCTCTGATTATAACAAAGTGTAGACATTATTATAAATTCATTGTGCAGTCAAGAGCTTTGTGAGATCACGATAAACTGAGATGTCAGCTTTTTGGGGGATTATAAAGAGAGCTTGTTGTGTTTCCCCCTGGACAGCACCCCCAACCTAAAACATCTTCCTGTGCCCCTGGGTGGAGGCCATCCTGTGTAAACAGTTGTCTTTGAAACATTTTAGTTCCTCTTGCTAGGAGTGGTCCACTGATGAACGACTGAACTTTCAGGCTTCTAAGCGTTTCAGAGAGTTCCTTAATATTAGGCTGATGTTTCTGATAATGGAGTCGCCCACTATCAGAGTCCTGGGCTCGGCTGTGCTCTGAGCTGAATGTAATACACTCAGTATAGCTTGTTTAGATTCACGGGACTCACCGGCTGTGTGCTGAAGGGTCCGTCATGAAGCTCTGCTGTGTGTTTGGTAGTCCTGCAAGTAACTTTGTTTCAAGAACTGCAATCCTTTGTCTGTGGCAGTTTGTGCAGCAAGTAGACTCTTCAACCAGAAGAGGCATTTTCTTTCTCGTCTACAAAAATTATAATTTTTTGTAACATTATTCCAGTCCGGAAAGTTGTTGGCTGATAGCAAATGAATAATCCAACCTCTTGTAATGAAAACACGCCACAGCTCTCAAACACCAGACTCTTCCTAACCAGGAACAGTCAAGAATAGTCCAGACTACGGTCTCACGTCGAAAAGAACTTTAAATCCGTATTCAATCTGGACCATTATGTAGTAGCCTCACCTAAAATGCACACAAATACACTGTCTTAAACTCTTAGCATTAATCCAAACATAGGCCATACACACATGTAACATCTCTGCAAAAAAACATCAGCAATGTACACTTTTAAATAGGAAAAAAAACTTCGTTTAGACTGGGATTGAAATGACACATTTCCCAACCAGGACACGGCACAATGTGTTCAGCAGGTGAGCCATGCTGGCTACCGCTGCTTGCTGTTGCTAACTCCCTTCTTCTTCTTCTCCTTCTTCTTCTTATAATCTGTTAATTATTCTGATCTTTAACACAGAAAAACTCGTGCTGAAGCGACTGAGAGACGCACTATTATAAAGATGGCGTTTATTAAAGAGGAGAGTGAAGACATGAAGATTGAAGAAGCTCTCAGAGTCAAACATGAAGAGACTGAGGAACAAACAGGTCGGTCAAGTCGCCTTTATTTATATAGTACTTTATACAATAATGTTTGTCAAAGCAGCTTTACCGTGTCAAACAGAAAAATATTTTGTCCATAATGCAAGAAGACAATAACAGAGTAATTTTTACTACACTATGTTGTTCACTGGCAAGCTGCACAAAACCACGTTCATAATTGCACGCTTTTTTGCGCAGCTTGTCAGTGAACAACGGCTCTGTGTAGTAAATGCTGCTCCATGTGAAAGATGTAATTATCTGAACCAGTGCTGCCTTGATGTTGTTGGATTTGAGTGCTGCCTTTGATAGCCTAGATCATGGCAACTTAATATTGAACATCTCAGAGATTATGTGGCTATCAAGGCTGTAGCCCTTAAATGCTTCCCCTCAAATTTGCAGGACAGGACATGTTCAGTTAGGATTGGGACCTGTGGCTCATCATCTATTAATATTTCTTGGGGGATTCCACAAGGATCGATTCTTGGTCCAACTCTTTTCATTGTATATGTTGCCACTGGAGTTAATTCTTAAGAATTATAGAGTTAGCTATAATTTTCATGTTGATGACCTACAGTTGTATCTTTCAATAGAGTATGATGACTGTTCATCTGTCTCCCATTTGACAAGTGTTTGACTGAAGTCTGTAGTAACAAAAGTAACAATCTATAAAACTGAAGCTCGTGCAGTGGTTAAAACAATGCTGTATTTGTAAACATGCGTACTGAACCGAAAGACCCTTACCGAACATTTTCGGTACGATTACGTGTACCGTTACACCCCTAGTAAATAGTCAAATTCATTTATATGTTTTGACTAAACAGTTGTTGCATGTGCATCATGTAAAAATGTTCTTTAATAATAACTAGTTGCATTTGCATTTTACAGTGCAGTTTATTTGTTATTAAATAAACTTACATTTAGCCAAATTTGCCCCCTCATTCAAGTCCTCAGTTGACCAGCAGCACTCATAGTATCAGCACACCATCAGTTCCACAAAAGAAACCGTTCGGTTCAGTCAGTGCTAGCTTCACGCATGCTCGTATCTCCAGCTCATCAGTTGAACGTGTCCGAAAGAAACAGTTCTCCGTTTAGTGTTCTGGAGACTGTATAATCCATACTACAGTAGTATTCATAAGCGCTGCACTGCTTTGTTTACAGAGGTAACTAAGGAAACGCTATATCTGCTGTTCCATGAGCGCCTCCTGCTTCATGCAGATATTCTATGTAGTATAGTTTCACAAAACTAAAGTCAGAGCATTCTGTTTAGCGTTGTAATCTTTCAAATTGTACAATCTAATTTAGATTTTAAAAACTGCTCATGCTGCATGTATTTGCTGTTACACTGGTGTTCACTTGTTTTTGTTTCTGTTCACCCTAGACCTGATGCCACTGAAAGAGGAGAGTCAAGAACTGAATGAAATGGAAGAGAAAGATCAGAATGAGAAACGCCATGATTTCATGACTGGGGAAAAATCTTTTACTTATTCGCCGACTCAAAAAACAGAAACCAGAAGCCTTGAATTCCAGATGAGGGTTCACACTGGAGAGAAGCCTTATGTCTGCCAACAGTGTGGAAAGAGTTTAATTCAAAAAGACAGCCTTAAAGCCCACATGAAAATTCACAGTGGAAAGAAGCCTTACACCTGCAAACAGTGTGGGAAGAGTTTCTCACTAAAAGGAAACCTTAACAGTCACATGAGAATCCATGCTGGAGAGAAGTCGTTCATCTGTTCTCAGTGTGGAAAGAGTTTTAAACAGAAAAAGTACCTTAATGCCCACTTGACAATTCACACTGGAGAGAAGCCTCACACCTGCAAACTGTGCGGGAAGAGCTTCACGCGAAAAGAAAATCTTACAATTCACATGAGAATTCACACTGGAGAGAAGCCTTACATTTGCCAACAGTGTGGGAAGAGCTTCACACAAAAAGAAAGTTTTAAAATTCACATGAGAATTCACACTGGAGAGAAGCCGTTCATCTGCTCGCAGTGTGGGAAGAGTTTCAAACAGAAAAAGTACCTCAATGGCCACATGAGAGTTCACACTGGAGAGAAACCGTTTGTTTGTGATCAGTGTGAAAAGAGTTTCTGATAGCAATCTTTCCTTTGAAAACCATGTTTCTAGCATTTGTAAAACCACATTTTTCCATCTTAAAAAATATATCTAAATTACGACCTATGCTCTCCGCTGCGATCTCAAAACTCTGGCCTTTTGATACCTAGAATATCAAAATCAACTGTGGGCAGCAGATCCTTCTCCTATTTAGCACCCAAACTCTGGAACAATATACCACTCTGTCAGTTTAAATAGATTAAAGACCCATCTCTTAAACCTGGCATACACATATACACTGTTGCAGAACACTTCCCATAACACCCGATGTACTCGCTACATCGTAAGAAGAATGGCATCTACGCTAATAGTAGTCTGTTTCTTTCTTATCTTAAAAAATAAAAATTACAATTATTTTTTGTAACATTATTCCAGTCCGGAAAGTTTTAAGTGTTGGTGGCAAACATTTGTTGAGCACTGTGCTGATCTGCTGAAATTAAAATCTGCAAAAGTAACGAGCAGTAAGCAAGAGCGTCTGAACAGAAGTTAATTCCTACAATTTAAAACAATATCAATATCTTTGATTCTTATTTTTGATCCTGATCTTCACCTGAGAGTTTCTACAGGTGCAACTGAATATTGAAGGTATTTTTGTTTTTCGCAAAACAACATTTACTTCACTAATATCATAACATGTGTGATATATTTCTGTATCCCTGTGATGATCTCTCTCTAGAGTTACAGTGTTTCTAGTAAACTAGTTATTGCATCTTGTATTTAGAAACTGAACACTATTCACTCTTAATAAGGGTAGATAAAGAGAAACAGCTGAGTATACTCATATTTTTGTCAGTTAAAGAAAATCATCATGTATGAATTTAATCAATTAACTATTTTCATTTCAACTGCACAAAAAGTGAATTAAAATCAGAACTGCTGATATAAAAGTACATTACCACTGAAATCAATAAGATCAAAGACAGACAATACATTCCTTATAGAAGACAGATTTGTTTCTTTTCTCCATGTATCTGTAATTCTGTATGGGGAGTAAAATTATGATTGTAAATTGATTTTTCAATAAATGGAAACCTGTTTGTGAATCTGAGAGCTTAAAAGATGTTTAGTCACATTTCAGTACAAATTCCATGCCATTTTTGATGAAAGATTAATTAACCACAAGCTTAATATTTAACTTACAATTGTTAAATTCTTTAAATTAAACTTTAAATTCTTCACGAGTTCGAATCTAATCCTTTGTAATATGAAGATCAAGATGCCTGACTTTAGTCGTGACTGAGAATATCACAAATGCTCTGTGGTTGGTTATAATTGTGATCACTTCACACTTGCTTACATTTAGATACAAGCCAGAAGCTTTAGGAAAAATCTGTGATATTGATAGCTTTCTGAATATGTGTTCCATCCTTTGAATCAAACCTTTATCATGTCGTTTAAATGTGTTTTCTGTATGCGAATTTCTGTTTTGTGTGAACAGGACTTTTATTTTGGCGTGGTGACATGATGTCATAAGTCTGCGCCATGCTCCTGCATCTGTGATTCTGCTGAAGAAAGGTTTGTGTTTTTAATCTTTTAAAGAGTTTAAACCAATACAACCCATTCAGATAGTTTTATAGAGAACTTTGAAATGAATAAATTATTTTTAATGTAATGTTATAATCTATCTAATAACAGTAATGAAGATAGCTTTTTTTATAGTAAAGCACATCCACACATGAGCAACAAAAGAGATGCATCTCATTTCACTCCCTGTATAGTGAAGCAGTTCATCATAAACACACTGCTTGCTCACTGGCGGGTAAGTCATGATAGAGTTACAGAACTTCTTAAAAAACACTTAAATCAAATGCTTGTGAAAATGCTTCACTGTTTGTAAGCGCTGGAATCACAGCACGCTGACGACACCTAGGGTGTATTCCAGAAAGCAGGGTTAACTTACCGTCAGCTAAACCCTGAACTCTCGACTGATTAACCCCAAACCTTGCTTACTCGAGGTATGTGGTTCCAAAACTGTGCCCGGGAGTAAGTTCATTCAACTCAGAGTATGTTCCTGGTTAAGACTCAAGTCATTCTCAACAGAGCGACGAATCGAAACGGACGCTAAGAAAAAGCGCGCCATGCTGTTTCTTTCTTCTTCTTTTGTTCAATGGTCATTTACATGCTTAGTGCATATCGCCACCTAACTGATGGTTGTGCAATCATTTTCATTTTTATTCCGTTTACTCTTTAATCCGTGAGAATATTAATTATATTGTTTGTTTGATGCTAATTATATATTAAGTCATATCAGATATGTATTTTGATTTAGAATTTAGACATAGAAAATGCAGATCCATGTGTGAGATGATAATATAAAATGTAATAAATAAATATATATAATATAATAAATTAAACATTACCTTGTCATAGTGTTTTAGAATTTATACAGATAACTGTTATATATGCCAATAAAATAAATATAATAACCATATTATAAAAAGCTGAGGTGATCCGCTCGCTTATCCTCAAACATACCCGGGTATGCCACATAACCTGCTTTCTGGAATACCCCCCAGATGTGTGTGTTGTTAAAATCTGCACTAAAACGTGATTTAAACCTTCCAAGTAGCCTGTTTAATATTAATAAAATTGCTCATCTTCTTCAGTGATACCAGCTCAGACACATTTAGAATCTGTTGGTGGTTTTTTTTATGTGTATAATGACAACCTCTAAATATACACTCACAATGTTTTCATGAAAGTGTTATCTATTAAACATAATCTACAAATAAATCAATACATACCAAATGTAAATCATAAATGCCTAAATATGAAATGTCTGTACAATTTGTGTTTCCTTATTAATTTGTAGTTCTAGTTTTGAGTGTTTTTGTCTTATTATGTGATTTATCATAATTCAGTCACCGGCAAGTAGTGAGGAGAGAAACGGAGCTTTTGAAACTCCGAGTCAAATGAATCACTTGATTCAGTGGTTTTGAATCACTCGACTCACCGCACGCTGTCGACTCCTGCTGCTCAAAACAGTGTAAATGCACCGAGAACAACAAACACAAACATGTTTAATGACAACTTTTACAAACCAACTGCCAATGTTTTTGTGGAATCCAGTAAATGTAATCTACAAATTATTACATACCAAATCTAAATCATAGATACTTAAATATGTACTTTTAAATATAATTTGTGTGTTCTGCTAGTCTTGAGTGTTTTTATTTTTGGCTAATCATGTGTTTTAAGTGCATTAACTCTCACTCTGACTGACTCCCTTACTAGTGTGCTGACTACTGAAATAGGGAGCTGATTGAGACACCCCAGAGATCTAGATTGAGTTTATTATCTTTGTTAATTATTCTGATATCAAACACACAGAAAAACTGCTGCTGAAGCGACTGAGAGACACACTATTATAAAGATGGCGTTTATTAACAGAAAAATATTTTGTCCATAATGCAAGAAGACAATAACAGAGTAATTTTTCAGCTAAAAGGTTGGTTTCATTCTTTCATACCTGCCTGTAATTATCAAGTGTTCCTGAACCAGTGCTGCCTTGATGTTGTTGGATTTGAGTGCTGCCTTTGATAGCCTAGATCATGGCAACGTAATATTGAACATCTCAGAGATTATGTGGCTATCAAGGCTGTAGCCCTTAAATGCTTCCCCTCAAATTTGCAGGACAGGACATGTTCAGTTAGGATTGGGACCTGTGGCTCATCATCTATTAATATTTCTTGGGGGATTCCACAAGGATCGATTCTTGGTCCAACTCTTTTCATTGTATATGTTGCCCCTGGAGTTAATTCTTAAGAATTATAGAGTTAGCTATAATTTTGATGACCTACAATTGTATCTTTCCATAGAGTATGATGACTGTTCATCTGTCTCCCATTTGACAAGTGTTGACAAGTTGACAAAAGTAACAATCTATAAAACTGAAGTTCTGCTCGTGCAGTGGTCGAACCGAAAGACCCTTACCGAACATTTTCGGTACGAATATGTGTACTGTTACACCCCTAGTAAATAGTCAAATTCATTTATATGTTTTGACTGAACAGTTGCATGTGCATCATGTAAAAATTTTCTTTAATAATAACTAGTTGCATTTGCATTTTAGAGTGCAGTTTATTTGTTATTAAATAAACTTACATTTAGCCAAGTTTGCCCCCTCATTCAAGTCCTCAGTTGACCACTAGCACTCATAGTATCAGCACACCATCAGTTCTCCAAAAGAAACAGTTCGGTTCAGTCAGTGCTAGCTTCACACATGCTCGTATCTCCAGCTCATCAGTTCTCAATATTGAACGTGTCCGAAAGAAACAGTTCTCACTTCAGTGTACTGGTGACTGAATGACAGAATAAGAAAAGGCTGACTTCTCAAGATGGCGCCAGGATGTTTGCCGGCTTGCCGTCACAGTCTGTCTATGTTATTTGTTTAATTTTCGTTGTTTGTTTTATCACTCGTACTGCTTGTTCTCCCCTGGTGTACGATCGTTTGACTCTACTGAATATTCAATCGGTGGTGTCCGGTTGTTTGAGTCGCTGGAGAAGTCTGCCATCTGCTTCCTCATTATGTGCCAGCCGCACGGGGGAAAATGTGGTACCTGCCGGGGTGTCTGTGCCTGTTGAAGAAACGCCGAAGGAAGCGTGCTGGAGGCCTTGTGAGATCAAAGAAGTTCGGGAAATATCCTTTCTTTGGACCTGCGTCTTCAGTGGCGAAGGCCGTTGATGTGATGCCAAACCTAAGATGCTCATACCTCGTTCCCGTCTTTCCGTCTTCATCTGTGCCAGTGCTCTGGTACTCGCGGATGGTTCATGTGAGGCGGCGGTCTGGTGATCGGAGGGTAAATCGCCAAAGTCTTCATTTCCTGCGTTATGGAAGTCCGGTAAACGATACCACTTTGCACAAAACTGCACCTTTTCCTGACTCCATTCCAGTGACAATGGCGTTGATTAATGCAAGATCCCTTGCAAATAAGTCTGTTATTTTGAATGATCTTTTAATCTTTAATGAATTAGACTTCTTATTTGTAACTGAGACTTGGCTCAACGTCGGTGAAACGACTCCTCTCTCTGAACTTTCTCCTCCTGGTTGTAGTTTTTTTAGTACACCCAGGTCTGTTGGCCGGGGTTTGGGGTCTTGCTATTATTTTTAAAGTCTTTTACCTTCTGAGTCTCATTGTACGTTTGAAACTTAGTTAATTATGTTGAATTCTTTTAAATCTGTGTCATGTGTTTCCAAACATTCATGGGGATTTTATTCAAGGAGTTTTCTGAATTTTTATCTGTTATTGTCCCTTCTTTTGACAATATTTTAGTTTTGGGGGATTTCAACATACATGTTTGTTGTCCTTCAAAGCCCCTGGCTAGTGAGTTTTTAAATGTATTAGTCATTTGATCTTTTACAGTGTGTTTCTGGTCCAACACAAGAGCGTGGTCATACTCTTGACCTTGTATTATCTTTGGGGTTTTCAGTTATTGGGGTGAAAATTGCAGCCACTGTTTTCTCTGACCACAAGACAAGTCTTTTTTAGCCCTACTTTCCCATGTAGTACTCAGATTATGAATGTTTCTTCTTCAATTGCTTCTCGTGCTCTTACTCCTTGTACTGCTAGTAAATTTTCAGCG